AGGTTGAAAAAATTTGACAAGTTCGTTCAAAAAGAAAAAGTGGCATATTTAGACAATATGGACTTTAATGATGATAATTTCAAATGTCTAAATGAAGAAATGGAAGTGAACTTAGCAAATTGCAACCCGGGCCAACATATCAATGCCAATTATTAAAACCTGGGAAAAATAATATAGAGGTCGGATCGAATAGAAAATATAGTTTCGATATAACGAAAGCTGATAGAATATTCGATATTTTACTGAAAGATAAACAAATTATACTTCCGAAAAATCACAAAATTTCTCCTTTTGAACAAAGAAAAGGGAAAAATTTTTGTAAGTATCACAACATGTATGGTCATTGGACTAACAATTGTGTACGTTTCAGGGACATGATCGAGAAGGCGATTACTGATGGTCGCTTGGCTTTCGAGGAGAAAGAAATGAAAGTTGATACTGATCCATTCGCTGCACAAGCAGGATATGTGGAACCCATGGGAATCAATGTGCTTGAAATTGATATGGTTGACCTGGTTGTGAACGAAGAGGAAGTTGTCGAACCTATTACGGATGAAAAGCTGGAAGAGCTCTTAGAGGAGTTCGCGAAAGAACAGGAGCCCATTTATCCGAAAGAGGGGGATAGTTTGTTCGATTTCCTTTCGAGGAAGAAAGATGATGATCGGGAAGTTATGCTTTGCCCGAGATGTAGCGCTGTGTTCGATAGATCAGTGGCTAAGGCTTTCGAGGAATCTGAAATTATGAAAAATTATAAAGCTGAGAAGGCTCGAGGAAAGTCGAAAGTGAATACTGGCATAGTGATGCGTCAAGTTCATATGCCACAAGGCAATGCTCCTATGGCTCCCATCGGAAAGATGGAGGTGTACAACTCCTCCCGAGTTGGTAATGCATACCTGCCAAATGCGCATGTTCCCATTGGGAAGTGGACTTCTCCGCAAAGGCCCAATGTTGGAATGGGTCGAGGAAAGCAAATTGTGAACTACTCGAAAAACCCATTTTCTGGAGGACCCAGATTTGTGTCAAACATGCAAGGGGGTTCTGGAAGAGGAATTAAATGTCCTTTTAATGACCTCACCAAGACTCAGTGGAGAAGGCAACAAAGAATGAGAAAGGCAACTTTTGAGGGACGCAAAGGTAATCAATTTTCGATTCTTGTACCTTACGAAAGTGAGGCATCTAAGAAATTCGCAGAGGATGAGGAAGATTTGATTATGGATTGTTTTGAAAGTGGTTTCGAGGATTCCCTCGAAGATATTTGTGGAGTGGTATCGATCCTACCTTCCGAATACGTTGAAGCAATGGAATCTGTGAATGAACAGGAAGACATACACCGTGAAGATTTTTTCGGTGACCCCAACTATGAATCAAAAATAGTATGGGTGAATCAAATATCTCGAGTCATTCCAAAGTTTAATTCAGCAGTGTTCGACTCGCCTACCACAGAAATGAAGGACCATCTGAAACCTTTATTGTTGACTCTTATGATCGAAGGAGTTGAAATCAACAAAGTCCTAGTGGATGGAGGTTCTGCTATAAATATACTCCCACAGACGATGCTGAAATGTTTTGGGAAGACTTTGGCAGATCTGAAACCTCACAATATCCTTATTTCTGATTATGCTGGAAAATCTTCTCAACCAGAAGGGATGATATTGCTAAATGTGCAAATTGGTAGTGTGAGAAGGACCACCATGTTTATTGTCACTCCTTCGAAAGCTAACTTTAATGTACTGTTAGGAAGAGAATGGATCCACGGAATGGGAGCAGTACCTTCGACAGTGCACCAGAAAATATTTTTCTGGAATGATGATGAACATCTAGAAGTGTTGGATGAAGATCAGTAAGAGTATGAGACGGGAATGTATTTCGCGGATCAACAAATTACTGCATTCGCGAAAATTAAGCCTTTCAATGCCATAGACCTATATGTCATGGAGGCAGAAGAAGGTGTTAAGAAGACTTTCTGTTGGGATGTTCGAAGAGGATTTGTTATCCACAGAGCTGAAATTGAGTCGGCTCAAGTGCGAGAATGATGAGACAAGATCATTTTTCGAGATTATTAGCTCGAATTTCGGCCTACATGGCCGAGAGAACGGCCAACGAGACCGAGGAAGATAGTGAAGTCGAAAGAGCCCAAGGGGGCACACATTCGATGAAGATCAAAACTATAATGGCTATGCAGGCCGAGAAAAAAAGCAGAAAACCAAAAAGAGGTAATCGGAACAGCTGAGAAAGAGTCTCTCAGAGTAAGACTCGAGGATGAGCAGAAAAGGGATTCAGAAGGAATCAAAGAAAGACTTGATTGTGTCTTTGACGATGCTCCTCTAGGATTCGAGAAAATGGAGAATGATGGGCTTAAAGTGGAATCTCAGGATCCTCTCGAGGAAGTCAATCTGGGTACAATCGAAAAGAGGAGAATCACCTATGTTAGCAAACTAGCGGAGAAGAGTGTTAAAGAACAAATCGTGCAGGTCTTGCATGAATATAAAGATTGCTTCGCCTGGGACTATGAAGAAATGCCTGGTTTATATCAAAATTTAGTAGAACATAGGTTGCCTATGATTTTGGGGAAGAAACCAGTGAAATAAAGCCCACGAAGGTTTGCTCCGCAGGTGATTGAAAAAATCAAAGAAGAGATCGAGAGGCTACTGAAGGCCAAATTCATTCGTACTTCGAGGTACACTGATTGGGTATCAAACATTGTGCCTGTTATAAAAAAGAATGGAAAAATGAGGGTATGTATCGATTTTCGAGATTTGAATGCAGCCACGCCTAAGGATGCATATCCCATGCCTATTGCGGAAACAATAATTGATGTCGTCGCAGGTAATGAAATTTTGAGTTTATTAGATGGTTATTCTGGGTACAACCAGATTTATATTGCTAACAATGATGTGTCGAAAACTGCCTTTAGGTGCCCAGGTGCCTTGGGAACTTACGAATGGGTAGTAATGCCTTTTGGCTTGAAAAATGCTGGTGCAACATATCAAAGAGCAATGAACTTATTTTTTCATGACTTGATCGAAAAATTCATGCAGGTTTATATTGATGACATAGTGATTGGATCGAAACGAAAAGTAGATCACATACAACACCTGAAATTGTCTTTCGAAAGAATGAGGAAACATGGGCTAAAAATGAATCCATTGAAATGTGCTTTCGGTGTTTCAGCGGGGGATTTCCTAGGGTTCGTCATACACCAGAAAGGCATTGAAATAGATAAGAACAAGACTCGAGCCATCATGGAAACTAAGCCTCCTTCGAATAAGAAGGAGTTGCAGTCTTTGTTAGGTAAGATAAATTTCCTTCGAAGATTTATTTCGAATTTATCAGGAAAGACTAAGGTGTTTTCCCCTTTGTTACGATTGAAAAAGGAGGAAGAATTTCGATGGGACGAAAATCATCAAAAGGCATTCGAGGAGATCAAGAATTATTTGATCAACCCTCCAGTGATGGTGCCACCCTCTGAAGGAGGAAAGCTAAAATTGTATGTCTCGGCCAATGATTCGACTATTGCGGGCATGCTGTCGCAAGATGACGAAAATGGCATCGAGAGAGCCATTTATTACATCAGTAGGATGTTAGTCGAGGCAGAAATCAGATACACTCCTTTGGAGAAGTTATGTCTGAGTTTGTATTATGCTTGTACAAAGCTGAAGCATTATATTAAACCTTATGATGTATTCGTGTTCTGTCGAAATAATGTGATTAAATATATGTTATCTAAACCTATCCTGCACTCTCGAGTTGGGAAATGGGCTCTTGCATTGACCGAGTATTCGTTAACGTTTGTTCCCCTCAAAGCCACAAAAGGACAAGTAATCGCTGATTTTCTCGTGGATCACTCGAATTTAAATGAACAGGTTAATTATTTAACCACGAAATCATGGGAATTATTTTTCGATGGATCGAAACACGAGTTAGGAGCAGGAATCGGATTACTGATTATTTCACCGGGTGGGATTCCCACCAAATTCTTATTGAGAACGAAATCCGAATGCTCGAATAATGAAACTGAATACGAAGCATTGATTACTGGGCTAAAATTGCTTAAGGACTTGGGGGCAAGGAACATAATCATTCGAGGTGACTCGCAACTCGTGATTAAACAGTTAACTCGAGAATATAAATGCATGAATGAAAAGTTACTCGAATGCAATTCTCGAGCTACAGCTTTGTTAAATTCATTCGATGAGGTCCAATTAGAACATATTTCTCGTAACGAGAACGAAATTGCGAATGAACTAGCTCAGATTGCATCCGGGTACAAGATAAGCAGGGAATGTCTCGAATCTCTTGTTTGTATAAGGAATGAGTTGAGTGACGAGCACGAATGCCTCACCATTGACACCTCAACCATTCAGGACTGGAGGAAAGAGCTAATCGAATATCTGCAAAATCCAAATTCGCAAGCTGAAAGAAAAGTTAAATATCGAGCTCTCAATTATGTGATATTGAATGATGAATTATACAAGAGAGGCTTCGATGGAGTTTTGTTTAAATGCCTCGGAAATCATGAGAGCTACATAGTCATGGTAGAGGTACATGAAGGGATTTGTGGTTCCCATCAAGCGGGAGAGAAAATGAAATGGACTTTGTCTAGAAAAGGATATTTTTGGCCAAGTATGTTCAAAGATTGTATCGAATTCGCAAAAGGTTGCGAAGAGTGCCAGAAACATGGCCCAATACATAGAGTACCAGCAACCGAGTTGCATGCGATTGTTAAGCCGTGGCCCTTTCGAGGTTGGGCAATTGACGTAATTGGCTAGATCCATCCTCCGTCAGCAAAAAACCATAAGTACATAATCGTAGCCATCGATTATTTTATGAAATGGGTGGAAGCAATTCCTGTAAAAGAAGTTGATCAGAGAGAGGTGATAAATTTTATTGAAGACCATATTATATTTCGATTCGGAATACCCCAGACAATAACTACAGATCAAGGAACGGTGTTCACAGGTCGAAAAGTGGTCCAGTATGCCCAGTCGAGAGGAATCAGAATGATTACTTCGACACCTTACTATGCACAAGCTAATGGCCAAGTCGAGGCTGCTAACAAAGTGATCATAGCTTTGATCAAAAAACATATTTCGGGGAAACCTCAAAACTGGCATGAAACATTGCTACAAATATTGTGGGCTTACAGAAATTCACCCAAGAATGCCACTCAAACTACGCCATACAAGTTGGTGTATGGTCACGAAGCAATTTTGCCTATTGATATCAATTTGCAATCCATTCACGTGCAAAGGCAAAATGAGTTACCAGTCGAAGATTATTGGAATTTAATGTATGATGAACTAATTCGACTGGATGACGAAAGAATGACAGCCATGCAAAATGTCATTCATCAGAAAGAAAAGATAGCTCGAGTTTATAACAAAAAGGTTAAGAGCAAACAATTTTCGAGTGGAGACTTAGTCCTAAAAGTTATCCTCCCAATGGACCAAAAATCTCGAGATCGGGGTAAGTGGACCTATAATTGGGAAGGACCATTCATTATCGAAAGAATCTACTCGAACAATGCATACTTGATCAAAGAGTTAAATTCGAGAAATGCAAGTAAAGTGATCAACGGAAAATACTTGAAGAAATTCCATGAAAGTAGCATGTACTGAGAAGAGTGTTCAAAGAGATAAGCAATAAAGGTACAAGCGGATAAACATTAAATTATAAATAGGCATCAGGTTTTCGATCACTTGCAGAATTTGGATTTGAGTGTTTCATATGCTAGGTAGGCTTGGTCGAGACTTTGCTTCCGCGAAGCACATAATACCTCCAATCTTCTCTTTTGATCCAACGACTTTGAAAGTCGAAGAGATATGCCTTTTCCTTCATCCCGCCAACCCTTTTGCTTTAACATAATCTCTTGGCTTTGAAGCTTCAAAGCAACATGTTTACTTGATCGAATCAAGCTCTCACTGCAGGACAGCAAGGAATCAGCCTCAATTTGAGCTATCTCCTGACTCGAAGTGGACCACTTCGTGTGCAATTCGGAGGCTGCAACAAAAGTATGAGCATATTCATTTAACTCTATGGTTACTTCCGGAGGAAGATCAGGATATGCATTTAGATCATCAACCATCTGCTCAATCTCCAGTTTGAATTGGGAGTCCATGAGAGCTTGGCCGAGATGATCCACATAGGCCTTCGAAAGGAAGGAAGATAATAGAGGTTGGAAGCTCGCAACAGTTTCTTGGGTCTTCCCCGAAGTCGAAGTCCCGCTAGCCCAATTCTCCAACACCTCGAAAATGTCATCTTGAGCAGCTTCGTCATCAAAGAAGCTTATGAGGTCTATGTCATCAGGAGGAATAGAAGCTAGTAGAGTGTCGGAGGGGGCAACATCATTCGAACTCGCAGGTTGACCGGAGGGAGGAGTTTGTTTATCCTCAGAGGTTACCTCTAGGCCTGCACGAAAAAGGGATATTTTGTTAAGTCGAAGGTATTCTTTGGTGGAATGACATGATGTCCAAGAAATAATTACCCACCTTGTCTAGAGGACACCCTGTGTCGAAGTTGAAGGAAGGTGCATCACCTTGCACAGAACCCGGGGGGGAGGTTCAACAGTTGGCACAGTGACAGGAACAGTGGCCGTGAGAACATTGGAAGAAACTGCTTATTATGAAAAGCATTGTAACAATGCACAGGTTCGAGAACGACTAGAAAAGTGAAATCAAAAGTCAATAAAACATACCTCAGGATGTTCAGGAGGAGAGGCTGATTCACGAATTTCGATAATATCTCGAGAAGACGGAGCAGCAGGTACGAAAAGGAGAAATTTGGAATTAAAAGATGTCAGGGGTATTTAATTCTCGCGAAGAGTACAATGCTCTAGGGTCCTATCAGAGAAAGAGAATTGAGGCGTTGAAAAACATTCTTTCTCAGTTACTTCGAAACAAATGTTTTCCATGGGCATTTGTTAGTACCAGAAAATGAATTCGGAGATACTCGAAATACAGGGGTGCTCGAAATCTAAGGTGATCGAAAAATGGCAAAGGAGTTTCTGAAGAAGGCATACGAAATTTGAAGAGAATCAAGAGATATGCGAAGACATGTTTCGTGAAACTCTCGAAATTCTCGAACCGGGAAGGATGCTGCTCAAGAGAAAGGCTCACAACCTCGCAAACTCTCAAAGTACAAGGAAAATCAAGAAACACTCAAGTATATTTTTTGTTGGTTACTCGAAATCTCAAGGATCCGGACATACACGAATACACTTCGTAACCTCTCAGAATGAAGAGCTTAAAGGAGACATGATTTAAGAGCGGCTGACGTAAATCATGGGATAAGTGTCAAAGGCTGCAGAACGGTTTTGGGAAGTTAATGAGCAGTTCCAAAAGTTATCCAAAGACATGCCCGGGAATAAGCCACGATGCGGAAGTTTAGATCGGTTATGCACTTCCGGGGCACGTCAAAAACAATTACATTTCCCAAATCTTTGTCTATAAATTAAACGAGCCATGCTCGTAGCAAAGGGTCAGAAATCTAATTCCCACAATACCTCACACGCACTCCGCAGCCTACGCATAAGGCATACTGTGCATACGAGACAGCTTTGGGTACGATTTCTTGACCACTTTTCTTTTTCCTTTTTAGGAGTAGCGTAGCATAGCATAATCTAGCCTAGTGTAGTGTAGTCATTCTGAACATGTTTCGTTATCCTTACGAATGGTAATTCTGTTACCATTTAATGAAGGATATGATTTCTGCAGTCAATATATATGTCATCTATTCGATTCACATTAATTCTTATATGCATGAATTTGATTATACAATTAGCCTAGATCTTCTGATGTGCTGAAATAAGCATAGATCTTCTGACGTGCTAAAAATAGCATAGATCTTCTGACGTGCTCGAAAACATGAGCATAGATCTTCTGAAGTGCTAAAACCAGCATAGATCTTCTGAAGTGCTCGAATAATGAGCATAGATCTTCTGACGTGCTAAAACAACACCCTAATTTAACTCTATTTGCTGTTTATATGATTTATTCTTTCACTAAAAGTCTTCGATTATGTCCTGTCACGAACACGCATAAATTGAAACGTGAACTCGTGCTAGTTCGAATAAAAGAACCTACGAACGAAATCCTCCATAAACAGGTGGTCTCGGTTCACGAGTGACCGGCTAAGCCGGCTAAACGACCAGTTTGTTCCGAACATATAACAACATGGAACTAAACCAAACAATTAAAGAGAGATTAATTTATGTAATGTGTCGGTTTAGTCTCCTAATTTTCCGGGGCCAGTTCCTAATCACGACTTAACAAGAATCACTATAAATAGGACCTCAACAAGGTACGTAACTAATTTTCGACTACCGCATTTAATACGCCGAACACTTACTTGAGCGTTAGAGTGTCTTTACAGGCACCTCCCTCACTTAAGACTACCCAAAAAGGAACGAGAAGACCTAGACCAAAGATCAGACCCGCAACAACAAAAATAAATAAAGTGTGTATCCGAATACAGGAACAGTACAAGTCTTTATTTGTTATAAAAGTGGAAATGACTAAAAACGAACAAGACTTTAGTTAAATAAGTTTGAATCAAGAATGAGATTTTAAAATTTTTTTATTATAACTTTTTCTATAATATTTAATTAAGAATTTTTTAATATAAAAAATTATATGTATTTAATTAAGATAATTTCAATTTTTTAACAGTATTTTAAAATTTAGTGATATTCAATTAAGATAATTATAATTTTTTTTAAATATGTAAAAATTTGATAATATTCAATTAAAACTTTTTTCGTTTAAAAAAAGTTTATTTATATTAAAAAATATAGATATTTCAATTAAATTATTTTGATGGATGAATTTTGTTAGATTTTTTAATGAAATTTATATATAATTTATTTATCCAACAATTTTACAAAAAATATTAAAATTTTACATGTCATTTATTTATTTATTTATATTTTTTTCCTTGCCTAGTTTTCTTCTCCCTTTTTTCCTCTCTAACTCCCTCTCTCTTTCTCTCTCTTCATTTCTTTTCTCTTTTCTCTTTCTTCCTTAACTCATCTTCTTTTCTTTCTCTTTTTTTTTTACCATATATTTTCCATCTCATATTCTCTTTCTCTTCATGTTCATCCTTCTCATTTATTTCTTCTTCTACTTTTTCTTCTTTTTATTTTTTTCTCCTATCTTTTTGTTATCTGTCAACATTTTTTTGTTACATTTTTTATCTATCAATATTAATGTATAATTTATTATTTTTTGTTTTTTAATCATTAAATATTTAAAATTATTCCTTAATATTAAATTTAAATGTTTTAATTTTTAAATTATTAAAATTAAATAAATAATTATTTTCAATAAAATTTAATAATAAAATATCCAAATTTTAAACATATATTAAAATATATTTTGATAATCTTACTGGTTAATGAACATCATAAATTTAAATATATTATTCAAATTTAATAATATAAATGAGAAAATATAAATATATAAAAATTGTATACAAATAAATATTACTTAAAAGGATATGAAATTACAATCAATTATTTATTAAAAGATTGAAAATTTTATTTTATTTTATTTATCCAGACCTTGTCATTTTTGTATGTAGATAAATTGTATTATTATTTTTTAAAAAAATTCATATTATCTTTTAAAATCTAATAAAATCTTTTCAAATCTTATAAGTTCTTAAGATAAAAATTCATTAAAATTCATATTATAAAATCTTGATTAAGAAAGTCTTTTAATTTTTTTTTCAAAAGTTATTATATTTTTACAAAGTCTTCTAAAAAAATATTTAAAATCATTAAATTCTTACAAAATCTTTTAAAATTTACAAGACTTTTTTATATTAAAAAAATCTTATAAAATCTCAATTCAATTCACTCCTTATTTTAAATATTTAAGATCTAAGTGTAATTTTTTATCTTTCACAAATATTTTTTTTGTCAAATTTAATCCTTTTTAAAATTTGATTTGACTTTGTAATATAATTAAAAGCTTTTAGTAAATATGTCGTAACCCTAAATAGACTAATTGATTAGCCGGTCAATGTAAAAAATCTCTATAAAAAACAAGGTATAAACTATAGAAATTAAAATCACTACTACTTAAAGACATAAGATGAGAGGTACATAAATAAGTTAGATGTTATAAAAGCCTAATATAGTTGTTTACTTGATATAAAATTGATGTAAGTTAAGCCATAAGTATATGAGATGGTCTTATTAGAGGTGAGCAAGGGAGAAGATGAGACATGTTTAGTCTTGTCTTAACCTTTTTTTTTTTTTTTCCCTTCTTAATTTGAGATCAAGTCTATCAAATAATTAGCATATATAGAATAAAAACTTAAGTTATAACTTTCTAATAAAATATATCAATAATTTAATATTAACATTATGTAAGGTTAATATATTATACAAAAAGTACAAAATGTAAATTAATTAAGTTATATTTTATAATATATTTTAAAATGTATAATAATTATAAATATTATATTATACAGAATATTATCTATTAAATAAAAACATTTAATTATCGACAAATAATTGTCAAAAAAAATTATTATTTTTAAGAAAATATATAAAAGACCCCAAACTGTGTTGAGATGACTAAGAATTAAGGACTAAGGTACAACTGAAATCCAAACA